AAAAAAAAAAAAGGTAGTTTACCTGTCAAACAGTCGATGATTGATAACAGTAGAAGCTGTTTCCATGGCAACGTCATATTTGGCAGCCAGGGGTAAATGAGACTTTCATCCAATAAGCTTTGAAATGGCACTTGTGTTCTCCGAGAGAGAGAGGAGCTTGACCTGTTGAAACGAGAATCTCCTTGTAAAATACCAAAAACTCCACCACTGACAGCGTAACATCTTTTAATCACCTATCAAGCTAAGACAGGGGAAGTGTCAGAATTTTTCTGTCAGCGGAAACATAATCACTGTAAAACTGGAGGAACAGTTTGGTGCCGGATAGCCCTCACATCTCTAATCAGCAATGATCCAGGCAATGTCACTTTGCGCCCTGTAGTGTGGCCAACTTGAACCCGGAGATGTCTGAGGGTGATACCAGAGGCATATGGGAGGAAGTCCATGCCAATCTATTAGGGGAGCAACCAACGCCTAGGCTCATCCTTCACTTGGACAGATTCACTCTCTGGCTGCCTGAGGAGACTTGGACCTGGGAATTGGGTGCCATCCAATCAATTAGATTCACCCACAGCAGCATGTGTCTTCCCACATGCTGGGGTGAATCAAGACAGCCTGATGAGGAAGCCATTCCACCCAGGTCCGTAATCAAGGGCAAGAGTCTGACTGCTTGTAGCATGTGTTGCAAATTGCGATGCACGCGCTTCTTGCAGGAGGGGACTGAGCGCGTAATGATGCAATTACAAAATGTCAAACATACACACAATGAAGAGCAGGCAATAACACAGCAAATAAGGGAACGGTCTCATACACACACACATACACATATTACGAGTGCGCAGCGTATGGGAAGATTTGTGTACATTACTCTGCGCACGCATAAAAGGGAAGCGTATATGAATAAGTCGGGTCTGAAAATACAAGTTTCTTCAAGAGGTGTTGCGGCCGTATTAAGGGCAGGGGCAGATAATAACATCAATCTGCTAAATGTCACACAGCCCACACACACCTACACACTAAAGTTGCTTTCTCACCATGTACGAAACACATGTAACAGCCAGCCAGCTTCCACACACACACACACACACACACACACACACACACACACACACACACACACACACACACACACACACACACACACACACACATACCCTCACTTTCCATTTAGAAGACATAAGCTGTGACGTGCGGCTCATTTGTGGTCTAATCCCAAGGCGAGTCTGGTTCAGAGTGCTACTTATGGAGGGTCTAATTGTTTGTTAGCTGCCTGCATGTCAAATCAGACACGTTGGGGTCTCAGCCAAGATTTTATTTACTACCTTTCATGTTTTCTCCCCCCCCCCCCTTCCCAAAGTCTGCTAAATTGGATTGGTATGCCTCCTCTCTAGAAGACTCCTGCATGCCTTACCTCAGTAATAGGCCCACAGTGTAAAGTGCTGGCATCTCAAGACTGAAAATTGGTGTGTGTAAAAGGTATGGAGGGTATTACAGTACAGTCAACTTCGCATGTTGCATGGTTTGCATTTGCAGCGGGGTTTTACAGGGATGGCTCTGAGTTACATGTGTTCCTTTTTCCCCCCTACACATCCAATAAATCGTTTAAAAATGCAAATTGGAGGATTAGAGAATTACACCAGTGTAACACATGCTGTATAGAGCTGTCCACACACAGATGCAAGCTGACCCACCCACCCACCCACTCACACAGACACACACACACACACACAGACACACACACACACACACACACACATAAGCACACATTCACACTGCTTGCAATAATGGTGCTAACAGGATGGTGACAGAAGGTGGTGAGAAAGCTTTGGGGGGGATCGGTCTCAATCAAGAAGGGTACTTTCTGGAACCAATACACCACTGGCTTAACTGACACTTAAAAAAAGAATAAATGTATAAACACATATCTACCACCTACATCACACTCTGCCTGCATCCAAGTAACATGCTGACTGAACAAACAGCCCAGCTGGAAAGAGTAGGAGTGTACTTAGTTTGAAGGCCTGAGCTGCATTCATCACAGATTGTTCAGCTGACATTGTGGCATTAAAGTATGCAATTACCTTGTGAACGCTGCAAGGTAGAAACTGTGTGTGTGTGTGTGTGTGTACACCTTTGCACTCAGTGGATCGCATAAAGGATAAAGCCCATAATTACTGCTACTTCTGAAGTTTTTCTGTTTGTTTTTTTTTACTTAAAATACAGCCAAAAGAACCGTAATTACACGTTTCTTACTTTTCTTTCTTCTATGTTTTAGTGCATGCAAGTCCACCCAAGCCCCATTCAGCCCTTAAAAAATGTACTGGTCTTTGGCCTGTAGGTTAGCTCTATTTCACGGGGTGAGCTGCAGTGTGGCACCACACCAGGTAAGTACCACAGGAGCAGTTAGGGGGCTGAAATGCCAGGCTGTGACTAACTGCACCCCTTACATCACTTTGACAAAGAAAGGCAGGCATGTTGGAGCCAACTCCTTAATAAAAAAAAAAAGAAAAGAAAAAGAAGTCTCCTCTTTCTAGATTGCCTCTTTAAAAAAATAATAAATCAGCCTGCTCAGTGTGCAGGAATTGGCCGCAGTTGGGAGGTCACGTCACGTTGCTCGAGTCTAAAACAAACAATTATTCTCAAATAAAAGGCATTAGGAGCGGACGGTGCAGTCGGGAACAGCATAAAAACAGGCCGACGTGGTGGCAACAGCATGCCCGTCGCTATTTATATAAATTACACAGTCTTACCTGTTATCCCGAAATATCTTGACACCAATAGGAACCAAATTCAGCCCTCACGGATAAAACGACAAACTGCTCCTCCATGGAAACCTCGTTAGAAGAATTTCGGTCGCAATTGCAAGGTCGTTCGTACAGGTGAAACTGAGCCGGTGGTCAGTCACAGATAACGGGTAACGAAGGAGACATAAACACACGCGTTTCATATCGCCCCTCTCACCCACCTCCTCCTCCGTTTCCTCCACTCCCCACCAAAAAAAGAAAAGAAAAGAAAAAAAGAAAAAGCACACACGCGCGCGCGCGCGCTCGCACGCACAACACCCACGTTGTTTGCTGTGCTGAATCACATTTGCTACATCCACAGTTACGAGGCTTGACTCTCGCCCGTGTCTGCGCTCCAGTGCGAGTAAGTATGAAATGGGGCTTGAAAAAGGAACCTCGCCAGGATGATTTATTGTGCGCGTCAGAGTCCCGCTCTCCCCGCGAAGGAAGGAGGAGTGGGCTGCACGGCGGGGAGAAGGTCGATAAAGCAGCCAGAACGTGCAGCGATGGGATGGGAAGGTGGTGCGGGGAGGGAGGCAGGGAAGAAGGCGCACCTGGCGGGGAACTGCGCCCCCCTGCGTCTTCATTTGGTACAGTCCTCCTGGCACACGTGCAGCCTACAGACATTAGTTTAAATTAAGCTAATTCTCCCACAGTGCCTGTTTGTGTAGTGTTTAGAAATGACAGAAAACATTAATCAGAAAACAAACACAAAACTTGGATAAACAGTTAAAATGACAAGTAGCTTTGTACAAGTATCAGGAAGTTTATTTTATTGTGGTACACGGGGCCAGACTTCTTTAATTTATACCGCTGCATAGGAAAACTTTAATTTGAGAATGATAGATAAAGACACAAAACAGACGTTATTAATTCCAATGGGAGAAATTCACATGTTACAGAAGCACAGGGGTCTGCAAGAAAGAGTGAATTAGAGACATATTAGACAAATAAATAAGGAAAAAATGTGTAAAAGTGTACAAATACAAAAAGCCAAAAATGATAGATAGATAGATAGATAGATAGATAGATAGATAGATAGATAAGAAGGTTCTGAAACATATCTATCCATTAACAATGAAGCTACAGTGAGGAGGCAGAGAGCCTCTGGTTCGGGGTAACACAGTGCACCAAACCTCCTAAACCACAATGAGATTGAAACGAGGCAGGAGCAGCAACTTGTGTTTTTTTACACTGCCGTTTTTGTGCAGATTAAACAAAGGAGACGACAAAGTGTTAATTACTGAGCTTTAAACATGTCACTTCTGTTTTTGTGTTAAACGAGCTTAAAAGCTGCTGGCTCTCTCTACTCATTCATCCAGTATTCACATCTTTTCTGAAAGAGTTTTTGAAAACCGTGCCGAACTATTCACTTAACAATGTCCAAAACAGAATTTTTGTTCTCACACCGGTAGTGAAAATATATGTCCACCTTTGTCTCAGAGCAGATATTTTGACATGTTGTAATAGGTAGCGCATAGGTGCAGTTATAAAAAAAAAAGGTTGATTTTATTTGTGTAGTTACTTTGCATCATGTTGGAGTGATTTATTGCAGTAGTACTTGGTAATGTTATTAGTTCCACCTGTGCTCTCTCTGTCATTTGATTTTTATAGGTTAATATAAAAAGAAAAGCTTAATGCATCTAAATATAGAAACAGTATATAATAACCCAGAGACCCTCTGTTAAAGAGAATAATTACTTTGTCAAACATCAGGGGATAATCTGCAATTTTGCTCTTTTGCTCTGTAACATTGCGTGTTTGTCTAATAGGAATTACTCGTCAGTTGCCTTTCCTCGGGTCTGTTTCCTTTCTTTCTCTGAGGAGGAGCGATTTCACTTCCAAATCAAGGTCTGCAGGGAGAAGACAGTGAATTAAATGTCTTTCAAGAAAATTTGTGCTATTAGCCTGCCTAATAATTGACTTTACTTGTCCTATTTTCAGCAAACTTCAAATGTTCAAAGACCCTAATAGGACCAAACTTATGCTATTTATTACTTCTATTTATGACTTTGTTCTTGATATTTATTTTCTTTAAGGAAGAACAGATTTTCTACCACCAGGGGTCACAAAGTGTTAAAGAAGAAAAAGAAAATTAGTTCTGCTCTGCCTTGTTTTTAACTTTCTTTATCATTTACTTGTTTATTTCAACAAGCCTCCATTTTACGCTAAACAGGCGGCATAAAGGTGGGTGGACTTGTGCAAGCTTTTGAGATAGGAGTGGCTACCTGTCATAATATGTGGGGTTGGTGAGAGCCATTAGGACTCAAGTATACATGTACCAGAAAACCAATGTAATGAGCTGTAAGTGGCTGAAAACATGGCAGAGTGGGGTGTTCAAATTACTCCAAAATATGTCGATGTGGCTTCTCCTTTGTGTGCAGTTGGGGCATGCATGGAGGCCGAGTGACATCCCTCAAACTAGTTTCTGATGGGATGAGATTGGAGTGGTGTGGGTACAACTGAACCTCTCTTTTTCCCACAGTACCAATCACGGTACAGAAAAAGCACCTGGTTGTCATGGAAATGTAATGGAGCCCTAACCCGTGGTTAAAAGCTATTAAAAACAATATGATAGTTCACCTGAGCTTTTGTGGAGATACAGTATGGACAGCATAGATAAAATATAGAGACAGCGAATCTTCCACACCCTCAGACATGCAACTTCCACTACACTCTGAAGATCTGGATGGAAGACAGACTCCATAAACTAAAAGCTGCAAAGTTGGCCAAAGTAATTATTTGATCCCCTGCTGACTTTTTAAAGTTTGCTCAAGAAATGAACTCTCTATTTATGGTAGTTTTATTTTAATGCAGAGAGACATAATATCAACCAAAAATAGAGAAAAAACACACGACAAAAGTTATAAATTGATTTGCATCTCATTGAATGAAATAAGCTTTTGGTTCACTGCAACCCAGCCAGAATTCTGGCTCTGGCAGATTGGCTGTGTGCCCATGTGGCACAGAGATTCCAATCAATCAATCAATTATAGATATTGACTAAACTACACACCTCTCCATGTAATCAATTTCCATTTTAATATTCACCACCTAAGAGCTGTCAAAGGACATCAGGGACAAGACTGTAGACTTGCACAATGGTGGAATGGGCTAAAAGATTAGCAGCAAGAAGCTTGGTGAGAACCTGCCAACTGTTGGTGGAAGAAACATAAATTGACCTTGACCTTCGGTCTGGAGCTCTATACAGCATCTTGCCCAATGGGGTAATGATGATCATGAGAAAGGTTGTGGATTTGTTCAAAACTACCAAAGTCACTAACAACAGCACTGGTAGCACACTATGCTGTAGTGGGCAGTAATCGTACAACATCCACAAAGTCCCCCTGCTCAAGATGGCACGTACAGATCTCTTTTAGGTTTCCCAGTGAACATCTAAATGATTCAGAGAAGGCCTCAGAGACAGTGCTCAGTGTCAGATGAAACAAAAAAAATGCTCTTTGGCATCAACTTGAACCACTGTGTTTGGAGGAAGAGACATGCTGAGTATGACGCAAAGATAGGGTGACTAACCGTCCTCTTTTCTCCGGAGGAGAAGGTCGACAACTAAATGTGTTTCAAAGTATGTCTAAAAACATTCTGTCCGTGTGTCCAGGGGGATTTTCAAGATTGATGGAAATGTCTGGGTTTTCCTATAGGCCTAAAGAGGACCTATATGTGTGACGTTATTTGATTTGATTTGATATACCTTCATT